AACTGATTACTCCTTCTTAATCCCTTCGTCCTGTCCACATAATGACACAACGCATGGACAGGGCACAAACAATGAAGCCGCTCTTCTTCCGATGAGAAAAAGGCGGCGGATGAAAATCCAGTAAATCCAAGTCTACAGGCGAAAGCTGACTCGCTCACCTTAGGCACAAATGCTGGATTTGTCTTGCTGTGCTGCTACCCAGCACTGAAACTCTCTCATTCGCAACAGCCCAAATGGGATGACAGACACTGCCGTGGCCATCAGCCCTAGAAGACGTAAACAGTCTGAATGGAACTTTTTTCCCTTTCTGGAAAAGGGAGAGACAACCACGAATTGACCTGATGCGCTCCTCTGATAGAAACGCTTGATACAGGTCTGAGTTCAGCCTGAGACCCAGGAAAATTATTTCTTGCGTGGGCACTAAGCAGCTCTTCGTCTCGTTTATTTTGAAGCCTAAGCCTTTTAAATGAGACACAAGCAGATTTGTATCGATCTCCGCCTGCCGCCGTGACGGAGTAGAGAGGAGGAGATCGTCCAAATAAGCTGACACTCTGAGACCCGCTATTCTCAGCGGTGTTAGAGCCGCCTCGACACATTTCGTGAAAGTTCTTGGGGCTAATGCCAAACCGAACAGAACTGTCAAAAATTCGTAGGCTGTGCCCTGATAGGCAAACCTGAGGAATTTTCTGTGTGCCGGATAAATACTTTTGTGAAAATAAGCGTCCTTCACATCTACTGATGTAAACCAGTCTCTGGGACGAATAACATTGTATAATTTTTTTTATTGTGAGCATTTTTAACTTGTACTTTCTGAGGTGTTTGTTGAGGTTCCACAAATCCAGAATGGGATGGAGCCAACACTCCCAACAAGAGAACTTACTTCCTTTGAACATTTTGCTTGAATCACACCCTGACGCTTCTTGCTAGAGGGGGGAACAAGACTCCTGTGCTGTGCAGAGGGGTGTAACAGAGATTCTGTGAGTGCTGTAACCCTTTTTTTGATTTGAAAACAGACCACAGTTTAGGTCGCCAGCCTAAACTGCCAGCCTATGACTTTTTCCGTGTTTAAAGGAACACTCCACTATTTTTGAAAATAGGCTCAAAAATGACCAAAGAGTTCCTATATTTTTCCTATTTAAAACTTGACTCTTCTGTAGTTACATCGTGTACTAAGACCGACGGAAAATTAAAAGTTGCGAAAAAGTTGCGAAAACTAGCCATATTGGCCTAGAAAATCACAACTTTTAATTTTCCGTCGGTCTTAGTACACGATGTAACTACAGAAGAGTCAAGTTTTAAATAGGAAAAATATAGAAACTCTTTGGTCATTTTTTAGCGAGATGCTAACAGATTCAATGATCTATGCTAAGCTACATCTAAAAGTGCTACCGCCAGACCCGGAGATCGGCTGAATGGATTCGAAAACGGTAAAACTCAACTGTGTAGCGTCTGGACCAATCAAACACACAATTTTTCATTTGATTTAACAAATCAGT